CCCAATCAAAGCTCTCATTGTGCCCGCGGCTTCAGCCTACAGCCTCGTTCTCCTCTCTATCCCCATAACGCCTTGCAAGAGCTTGTTTCCGCCGTCTGCTGGCGAATCTCGAGCTTGGGTGGCTCCCCGCTGGCCATTAACCTGGCCAACTCGGGCGAGCGCTTGAATGCCTGGCTTGATTGGACTTGCCCGCATGTCGGTGTTTAGGGTTAGGTAGGGCCATTCAAGGGTTGGTTTGATCTGGACATTGTCCAGCGTCAGGCCAGTGCCTTGAATGATCCGCGTTACAGGAGGCTGCGTTAGGGTTTGAGGAGTGGGCGCATCAACCGCGGGCAAAACCGGCTGAGGGTTGTTGGGTAGTGTTTCGCGCGGAAACCACAATTAGCTCGCCAGGAGTTCGGGGTGTGGGTTTATCAGGCGGGGTTTTAGTGCTAAGCCTGTGTGCAAGCACAGGAGTCCACCAGCACTCCCCAGCCTCCTCCCAGCCTTGCCGTTCCTCACCTCCACTTGCGCCCTCCTTGCCTCCCCTGCTCCCCTTGTCCACTCCTTATGTCTCATTTTCCCTTTTCCCCTTCCACCACCCCCCTCTCCCCCATGTGCCCCACGTGCAGCCCCGTGTGCCCCGCGGAGGTGGACTGGTCCGCGCACTTCCCCGCGTTCTTCCCCACCACTGCTGCCACAGCACAACCGCCTGCTGCGGCTGATGCTGCTGCTGCTGCTGATGGCAGTGCTGCTGCTGCAGCAGAGGGGGGGGGAGCTCTTTCAGCAGCACGAGATGGTGCGACTTGAGTCGTGGGGACTGAGGGCAGAGCGATGGGGCGGGGAGATGAGGCGAGGAAGATAAGGCCAGGGAGTGGGTTGTGCTGGTGAGGGCGGTGATGAGAGTGAGGGATATGGGGTGGGGGGGTGGTGGAGCAGGGGGGGAAAAAGAGAGTAGGGATGAGAGTACAGTGTGTGGGCATGTGGGTGTATTAGAGAGGTGTGGTGGGGTGAGAGCTGAAAGAAAGGGCTTTTTATTATCCTCCTTCTCCATCTACGTGCGTTGCAGGGGCGGCACAGAAGCATGCCACAACCGCTGCCCCAAGCAGCAGCACGGGGCAACCAATGGTTCGCTTTGCTGATGTTGGGTGTGGCTTCGGTGGGCTGCTAGGTGCGTTGGTGACTGCTGCTGTTGGGCGTGCATGCTGGTCTCACCACTGCATGCATCTTCGCCCGCTTCTCCTTTGCTCCTCCCTCCTGCCTCTCTCTGCCACGTGGCAACTTGGCAAGTGCAGCTCTCCTCTCCTCCGCCGTCGCCTCATCATCCATCTCACTGCAACTTCAGGTCATCGCACCTCATTTTCTCACCACTCGCCCTTCGCTGATTTACCATCTTTTTCACACTCCCATGCTCCCTTCTCTCCACACCCTCCTCCCCCGTTCCCCCTCCCCTGCTCCCCCTCCCCCCACCCCAACCCACATCTCTCCCGTTTGTTGCAGTGAAGCTGTCTCCCATGTTTCCAGATACACTCATGGTTGGATTCGAGCTACGTGACAAAGTACGCCATCCACCTGGCCGCCCATTGTGTTGTTCACAATAGTTGCAGGCATGATGTTGGCTTATGATCTGAGTGCGCTTGGAAGAATTGGTTGGCTGAGTTGCGTGTGCGAGCATGTGTGCATGTGTGTCTGCATGTGTGCATGTGTGCATGTGTGCATGTGTGCATGTGTGTATGTGTGCATGTGTGCATGTGTGCATGTATGCATGTGTGCATGTGTGCTCCATGTATCCTTGCTTGCTTCTTGAGCTTGCCACCTCCTTCTCAACCTGCATTCCCCCCCATCTGTTATCCCCCTCAACCCACAGGTGAGCGAGTATGTGAAGGATCGCATTCTGGCTCTTCGACAGCAGCACCCCTCCCAGGTGACTTTTAAGTCGACTCAATAGCACCCGCCTCCATTTTTTAGATTTCTCAAGAGTCATTCTGCCTCTTCCTCCCGCTCCCCCGTTGCCCGCCCACCTGTCATTTCCTTTCTCACCTTCTCGCTCGCCATTCCCTCCCTCCCCATCTCGCAATGCCTCTCTTCCCTTCGTCCTGCTACTCCGTCGCTCTGTTGTGCTTGCGCCACCTCAATTCTTCCCCGTTTTCTCATCTCTCCACTTGTTATTGTCGGACGCACTCTCACTTTGAGGTACCTGGAACCACCTCCGCTCATCATTCGTTTCCTGCCCCTTCTCCACGATTTTAGCCCTCATTCTCGGCTCCCTCCTCTCCCGTCTCCCCCCACCCCCCCCCAGAGACCAACGTCTTGTGACCCCACTCCCCCTCACCCTCTCCCCCACCTCGCCAGTACACATACCTACATCTCCTTGATCCGCACCAACCCCATCACCGCTTCACCCTTGGTGCTGATGCTTGCTGCCACTTGCCTTTCCTTAGGCATGGGTACCACAGGGATCTGCCACATCTCGTTGTAGACATCCCTATCCTCGTGAAGGTCCCAAATAATCCGCTCGCCAAGCCTCGCGGTATAGGTCTTAGCTCCCTTCGAGCTTGTGTCCATGCCGGCCTTTTGCAACCGCCGCACGGAAATCAGGTTGGCAGCAAGGTTGGGCACCCAAAGCACGTTCTTGAGGCCCACCATCTTCCCATCAGCACCCTTGAACATGGCCTTGCCCATGCCTTTCACCTCTGCTCTCTGCCCCAAAGCCGATGTCACATGCTTCACCGGTGACGGCTCAAGTTCGGTGAGCAAGTCCGCACGAGGTGTCATGCTATAGGTAGCGCCGCTATCGATCACCCAATAGTCCTGGGAGTGTAGGGTGACCTTCCCCACAGCTGCTGGCTCCTCAAAGCTTTCATCATTCTCTGGACCAGCCGGTGCTTGCGTGGACACGAAGAAGAATTGACCCGGGAAGCGATCGTCCCTCGACTCGCTCTCGTTGCCGGCACTCTTCATACTTGCAGCACCACCTCCGTGACCGCCACGGCCTCCACGGCCTCTTCCTCTCCCTCCTCCTGCTCCTCTACCCTCTTGGCCTTGAGCAGGAGTCCATCCATCAGGGAGTTTGTAGCAATCGCGCCACATGTGTCCGCTCTTGTGGCAAAAATGACACTCGCCGTCGAACCGTCCGCGACCGCGTCCGTTGTTCTTGTTGTCATTGCCGTATCCGCTACTCCCGCGGCCTCTGTTGAAGTTGCTGCCTCCAAATCTTCCTCCTCCTCGTCCTCTGCCCCTTCCACGGCCATATCCACGGCCGATGCTTGCTGCCCCGGCGCCATCCGCACTCGCCAACTCACGGCGACGGAAATCCTCTTGAAGGATCGCTCGCTTCACGTCTTCGAGCAAGAGGCGGGGCAAGTCACGATTGAGGTTGATGATGAGAGAGGACCATGACTCTGGGAGTAAGGCCAGCAACTTGGTCTTCTTTTGGAGCTCACTGTAGTTCAAATCAGCTCCCTCAAGCCGCGTCAACAAGTCGAAGAATTTCTGCACCCCTTCTTCAACCGCTTCGTCTTCTTCAATTCGTAGTGCCGCCATTTGCCGTTCCAACACCACCGCTACCGCCGCTGTTGCAGGAGCGTGTACACCCTTGAGAGCAGCCCATGCCTTCGGTCCCTTCTCTGGTTCATGCTGGAATGGCTTGATGTGACGGATCTGGCTGCTCCCCAACGCTTGCCCAAGTAGGAGATAGCCTTGTGCGCTCTTCCGCACCCACGGGCTCTTCTCCGGGTCGTTCTCGGGGCGCTTCTCCGTTCCTTCCATCACCTCCAGCAGGTCATAGTGGTCAAAGATGTTCTCCATCTTGAAGGACCATTCAGCAAAGTTGTCACCGTTGAACTTGTCAAGCCCAAACACCCTAGGCTCATCCCTAGGTGGGCCAAGACTTGGTTGCATGGGCGCCATGGCTGAATCACGGGGTTGGCCTTGAGCTTGGGCTTCTCCACTGCCACCAGCAACTCTGCCACCCCTTTCCTCAGGTCCAGCCATTGTCGAAACTGCTCCAAGGGGCTCTGATACCACTTGTTATAGTCACAATAGCCTTGAATGTGCCTAAAACGAAAGATAGAGTGCACAGACGGATTTCTGCACAGCGGCTTCAAACGTTGATAGCGTTCTGCTCACAGCTGCAAATGACTTGATTCAAATTGGATCTGGAGCGTCTTGACGTCGCCTACAATAAGCAATTTAGATTGCACGATTTCATAAAGAATTGACGACACAGCGTCGGTTTGAACGAACGGTACTATGGCAGCCACTATAGTCTTAGAACACAAGATAGGAAGAGTTACGAGTTGGGAATGACTCCCAGCTCCTACAAACCCCAAGAGCCGAGGTACAGTGATGTGGAACAGTGCCACACTGTCCCCAACCACGAAGGGTCTCGAAACTACCCTCCACAAGGGCCTACACCAAGAGAAATGTTACACTACACAAAGTAATGCAACTATTCTCACTATCTTAAAGTTTACCTTTTTGGAGAGTTTCGAAATCACTTGATTCTTGAAACCAAGGCTCTGGTTCTTCAAGGTAAATTCTTCCTTGAGTTCTTGGAAGTCTGCTGCGCACACCTGCGACACGCCAAACGTTCCACACACGACAAAAATAGAAAACCGCACACGACACGCAAACAACGACGTCGCACGCAACTAGCGATAACTCGCTATTGACTCGACACACACATTCAAAATCATGCCTCATCGTTCACACACTATTGTAAGCATGAAATATATATTATTTCATGCCCTCATACCATTCCATGCACACACGCATGCACGCACACGGACAACAAGCCGAATGCAAACCGTAGGGTTGCACCAACACTAACGTACATGAAACAGGATCTGAAATGAAACCATGCTAATTGATAACCCACTTGTAATAACTCATGTGGTCGTTGTATGCTTATGCTACTTCGTGCAATAACTGCCGCCATCGTAATGTGCGGTTGCCCGGTTAAACCAAACAAACGGGCAAGAGTGCAAGTTACCCATCCCTGGCAGCGAATATTAGAGGCATCACTTCTGCTGGTACTGCATCACGTATACCTGGTCCTCCTCGGCCCAGTACCCCTCCACCAGCTTCCTGTTCACACTGTGCATCTTCTCAGTTACATTCTTGGCCCGCTTCTTCCCCTCTTCTTTATCCCACACTCCACTCTTGCTCCGCCTCACATGCTCCAGCGGCCCATGGCGCACCAGCTGACCCTTCCTGTGCCAGTAGAAGGAGCGGTCCACCACACAGTAGAGCACCAGGGCGGGGTAGTCCTGCCGCAGTGCAGCCAGTGTGGGTGCATTACACGCCTTGCGGGTGTGGAAGAAGAGGAACCGCAGATTCAGAGTGCGGAAAGACGGCGGCTTGAAGATGGCCTTACTCAACCGCCGCCGAGCCCTCATCCTAGATTTTACGGCTGGACCATACAATGCCCAACACTCCTAGCCATACTCATCAACACCAACACCATCAATCTCATCATCATCACTGTCAAAACTGGTATAGTGCTTACTTTGTGTAGGCTGTAGTGGGGTAGCGCATAAGGGGTACAACCCAATTCGGGTTAGTACTTGCACCCAACTTCTGTTCAATCCAATCATTCTCGTTCTATAGTTTGACAATCATCAGCATCATCACCATCGTCATCATCAGCATCCTCTGCAGCATCATCAAACATATAGTCATCCTCATCCACATCCACATCCTCATCCTCATCCGGCTCCAAGTCGAAATAACCCGGGTCACCCACCCAAGATTTGCGCAACCTGCCATCGTCTAAATGCTCCTCACACCCACCCTCATCTGTGACCATTCGCCAGTCTTTCGCATAGGGACTCCTGTCCCATGGAGGCACAACAATCCCAAGGCTCCGCAGCCTCCCCCACTCTTCATCCACCTTTATAGGCACCCTGTGCCTCACTATAAGCACCTCCACTATTGGCGCTATAGTGCCAAGCCATTCGGTCCAGGAAAAACCGTCTTGGTCATTGGTCGGTCCGTCCAAGTAGGCAACCCTGGCGGATGCGCGGCGGAGGGAGGAGATGTCGAGGCGCTCCCGACCGTACAGCGAGAGGTGGTCGAGGGTGAGAGGGGCGGCACCCTTGCAGGAGAGGATCAGCCGTTTGGCCATTACTGAGAGAGTCTTGAGCGCTGCTGGGGACACAGAGAGGGTGAGGTGCAGCTCAGTGCTGGCAAAGCGGAAGCGGAGGAGGAGGGCGTTGGGGAAGAAAAAGGTGAGGCGGCTGGTGGAGGGCACGTGGGGATATTCACGAAGCACGTTGCCGTCCTCATAGAGCGTGAACTCGTGCAGCTGCGGCGTGATGGACTGGAGAAGTTGGAAGCTCAAGCTCCCGAAATCCACATGCTCCAAGGTCAGCTTGCGAATCGACTTGAACCTCGGTGCGTTCACACACTGCTTGTTGAGTTTCCACTTGCCTCGCCCCAGGTTCAACTCCCGTAGCTGGGCGCATTCCCTGAGAAAACCCAGCGTCCAGCAATTTTTGTCCTGGTTCTGGGAGAGACCAACAGGGCCTTGCGACTCCAGGCGAAGGGACGAGAGGGAGGGGCTGCTCCGAGCGATGCAGGCGCCGAGAATGGGGAGATGCTGGGGGGAGGAGAAGCGGAGGTCAAGGGAGTGGAGACCCGGGCGGGTGAGGAAGAAGCGGACGGTCTGCGACCAGTGGGGGTTCTGGTCGTCGTACCTGAGCGAGATGGGCTGGCTCTCCTGTGATTGTAAGTGGGTGGGGTGGGAGAGCGTGGAGGAGTTGGAAATTTGAAACAATAGAGGTGTGGAGGTTAGTTCGGGACACAGCTGGTGCTCCGCATCACCAGCACAAGCGGCAGGAGCAAGACTTTTAGATTCTTGTTGCTAATGGCTGTGGGAAACGTCATCTATCCCCATGCATGGGGAGGTGAGGGCCAAGTGAAAGCTAAGGGCTAAAAGCTGAAAGGTGAAATGAAAGAGGAACACTGAAATGAAATCTGAAGCTAAATGAAATGCTGAAACAATATCAGAAAGCTGAAATGAAATTCAAAAGCTGAAATCTGAAATCTGAAAGCTGAAATCTGAAAGCTGAAATCTGAAACCTGAAAGCTGAAATGAAAGGTGAAAGCTTGAAATTTAAGCTGAAAGATGATTAGCTAAAATGAAATCTGAAACCTGGATCGAAATGTGGGAGCTGAAATAAAAACTGAAAGATCAAGCTGGAATATAATCTGAAAGCTGTAACGAAGCTGAAAGCTGAAATGAAACATGAATTGAAAATATATATATATACATGTATATATATGATAACATAAATGAAATATGAAAGCCGAAATATTGGAAACCTTGAATGAAATCTGAAAGCTGAAAGCAAAGCAGAAAGCTGAAATGAAATCTGAAGGCTGAAATGAAGGATGAAAGCTGAAATGAAAGCTGAAAGCTGAAATTAAGGCTGAAAGCTGAACTTAAAGATGAAAGGTGAAATGAAAGCTGAAGGCTATATTCACGGGTGCACTGAGTAGTTGGTCAAGCTGAAGCGGAAAGAGCAGGATCTGCCTGGCGAAAGCGGAAGGAGGGAAATTTGTGAAGGCGAGACATGAGTGGAGAGCGCTTACAGAGAAAGCTACGAAAAGATTGAGAAGCCTCTTGCTGGCGAGAGCGCAGCAGAGCAGAGCACATCAAGCACCATAGGTGTCAACGTTATCCTTGTGCTGCTCTCTGGCAGTGAGACCAACTTCCCAGAACACAACTAGCGGGCAATCGCGGTCAACTTTGGTGTTGGTGAGATGGCCGCTAGTTCTGGTGTTAGTGAACCCAGGGGTGCGGAACCATTCAACCTCACGGGCATCCAATCGCTCTGCCTCCTCTTCTACCCCATCCTCTGTCTCTTTCTCTGATTCTTCTGTCTCGGAATCATCAGCGCCTATTTTTGTCTTCCCCTCCTCCTCCTTCCCCTCTGCCTCTGGTACTTTCACTTTCCCATCCTCATCCTCCTCCTTTTCCTCTGACTCTTCGTCTGTCTCAGAATTATCAGAGCCAGTTCCCATCTTCTCCTCCTCCCTTTGGGCGAGGATAGCAGTGTCGTCCGGTTGGGAGGGCGGTTGATGCAGAAGGTGGAAGATTCTGCGGAGATTTCAAGTTTTCGGGATGGCGGGGCACGAAAACGTGGGCACGGGAATCTTGTCACGAAATGTGTACGAGGAGTTGAGGCACGAAATTGTGTTGGCTTGCCTTGTAGAAATTCTCTTAAGTGTTGAGAGAAGACTTGAACATAGCTTCAATATAGAAAAGGAAAAGTTGAATACAATGGGAAGGACCATAACCATATAGGAACGAAGCGACGATGGTCGCAAATGTTCACGCAAAACTTTCCGACAACTACTCTAGCATGTGCGTTGCCAAGTCAGCAACGGCAGGTGAAATTAACATGCCAGGTAAATTTCTACCTAACTAGGAGTAGTTGTTCATGTTTCTGTAACATTTGCAGTTACACATGCTTCGCTTGCGCAATATTGTCACTTCCTTCGATTCGGTCCATTTCTGTTTTGCGGGTCACTGTCGAAGACGGAGTGTACTGCGCGAATTTCCCTCCTGAGGTCAGGACTCGGTTCGTTTTGCCTTGTGCTGTATTTTCGCGCCTCCTGTAGTTTCGTAACAGCAAAGCACATGCGCGAAACCCCACAGCAAAGAACCACCGCGAAAATCCCCAGGGGCACAAAAACTCGGCCCCACACAGACGCGAAACCTTGCTCCCGCGCAGACGCGAACCCAGAAAGCAATGAGAACATTTTCGCGTCTGCATGAATTGGCTCTAATGCGCGGTCACTTTTCGCTCAAAGCCCTCACGCACGAAAAACAGGCTCGTGCAGGGCCATTCGCGTCAACACTCCCCTGCCCTGCTCGTGCCTGGCAAATGAGGAGTCAGCAGACCACACAAAGCGAAAAGCTAACTAATAAAATACAACAGGGTGACGAAACGGAAATTCGTCCGCGTATAGCCATCACACGCATACTCACCGCACCAGCCACGTTGAAGGACGTGGCACCTAATTGTTAGAATGTGAGCGAATGAATGACTGAACTAGAAAGCATGTGGGTACATATGGGAAACCTAAAAGTGTTGTACCCTATACAAACTACCCCACTACAGCCTAAACAGATTATAACATATAAGTTTGACACACCCCCATAGGCAAAGTGGGGGAGAACAAGAGGTCACAAGACCAGTCAAGAAAGGCAAAACAAGCTCAGGGTGGATCACAAAGTCACCACGCAGTCTGAGCACAAGCAAATGGCCACAAGGCCAGTCCACATGCAGAGTTATATATCGTGGCCTATCATAATATTAATTTAAGCCCATCATACCGTGGTCCATAATATTGTATTGCCGGTAATATGGTCGCAGAAATAATATGTTCGGCAGCATAATATTAATTTAAGCCCAGCATAATATGCTGCCACCACGGTTATGATGGGCTGAAATTAATAGCAGAGAATATATTTATGACATTTGATATACATGGTTTTATATGGAGCGGATGTCAAACTTATATATGCTATAGTTTGTTTAGGCTGTAGTGGGGTAGTTCTTTGAGGGTACAACACTTTTGTGTTTTCTACTTGTACCCATCTCCTTTCTAGTTTCATCATTCCATTCTCAATTCTCACATGGTATAGAGCTGGTTCGAGTTTTTTTTTAGGGCCCACCACTCGAAATATTATTTTTTTCCTTACCTGCCCGGGGCGGGTGTCGCGTCTGACCGAGCCGCGCCCTAGTGCCTGCCCTTCGAGGCCCCTAGTGGCCTTTCACTGCCCCTTCGTGGCCCTTAGCGGCCCCTCTTAAGGCCCGTCGCGGCCCCTCTTAAGGCCCGTCGCGGCCCCTTCTTAAGGCCCGTCGCGGCCCCTTCTTAAGGCCCGTCGCGGCCCCTCTTAAGGCCCGTCGCGCCCCCTCTTAAGGCCCGTTGCGGCCCCTCTTAAGGCCCGTCGCGGCCCCTCTTAAGGCCCGTCGCGGCCCCTCTTAAGGCCCGTCGCGGCCCCTCTTAAGGCCCCTCGCGGCCCCTGTTAAGGCCCGTCGCGGCCCCTCCTACGGCCCTTCGCGGCCCGTCTTAAGCCCCGTCGCGGCCCCTCGCAGCCCTTCGCGGCCCCTCTGACGGCCCGTCGCGGCGCCGTCACGGCCCTTCGCGGCCCCTCTGCCGGCCCATCACGGCCCCTCTGACGGCCCTTCGCGGCCCCTCTGCCGGCCCTTCGCGGCCCCTCTGCCGGCCCGTCGCGGCCCCTTTGCCGGCCCGTCGTGGCTCCCCCCCCCTTCTCGGCCCCAACTGACGCGCCCCCGGCCGGCTCCTGCTGCCGAGCCCCTGCCGGCCCCAACTGGCGCGGCCCCTCCTGGCGTGCCTCTGCCGGCCCCTGCCGGACCCTGCTGACGAGCCCCTGCCGGCGCCTGCACCTGTCTCTGGTTAGCCGAGCCGTGCCACCCGGCTGAGCCGCGCCGCCCAGCCGAGCCGCGCCACCTAGCCGAGCCGCACCGCTGCTGCTACTGCTGCGCTGCTGCTACTGCCACTACTGCTATTACTACTACTGCTGCTCCTCTTCCTACTGCTTCCACTGCTTCTATGGCTAGTCCTACAGTTCTCACCTTTGACTCTGAGGGACGTGCAGTTGACTTTGACGTATGGGTTGATGACCTACAGGTCTTTCTTCAGTGTGATTCTAGGGATGGGGTATCCCTTTTCGATCACACGTCCGGTGTTTCCACTGCTCCTCCTGTCACTGCTGACAATACTGTTCGCTCGCAGTGGACCACTCGTGACGCTGTTGCTCGTCTTGCTGTTCGTAGTCACCTGCCGACTGCTGAGCGCGCACACTTTGGTCAGTACAAGACTGCTCAGTCTTTGTACGACGCTGTAGTTGCACGCTACTCCTCCCCTGCCACTGCTGCCCTCAGTCGCCTCATGCTGCCGTACCTTTTCCCTGACCTTGCCGCCTTTACCACAGTCGCTGACCTAGTTGCTCACCTTCGCACTAGTGACGCCCGCTACCGCGCTGCCCTTCCCACTGAGTTCTGTGCCAAGAACCCCCCCCCCCATGTTCATCACCCTTTACTACCTAGTCACCCGCCTCCCTGACTCTCTCTCTTCAGTCAGGGACCACTTTCTCTCCCTTTGCCCCACCGAGCTGACTGTCGACCTGCTAGAGGAGCGCCTTGCTGCAGCTGAGAAGAGTATCTTAGCTGTAGGTGCTTCTCGCGGCGACCGTCGCACCCCCTTCTTTGAGGGGTGTTCCCCTGTCCCCCTTCTCCCCTCTATTGCTTCTGCTGCTGCTGTCGACCTCGTTGGCACTGAGGAGGTCGGAGCTGCGTCTGCCCCTAGTGGGAGACGCCGCAACAGCAAGGGCAAGGGGAACAGGGGTGGTGGAGGGGGTGGCGGGGGAGGCGGCGGAGGCGGTGGAGGAGGCGGAGCAGGTGGCGGTGGAGGTGGGGGTGGTACCAGGAGTGGGGGCGTCAATGGAAGCGGTGGAGGTCGTGGTGTCGGTGGCGGAGGTGGTGGAGGCGGCAGCAGCGGTGGTGGAGGCGGAGGCGGCGGTGGTGCTGGTCGAGGTGCAGCCACGCAGCGTGGAGGCTTTGGTGGCACCCAGCGCCAGCAGCAGCTGCGCACCCGTGAGACCCCGTCGGTTCAGCAGCTTCGTGAGTGGTACGCTGGGCGTGGGCGGTCTGGGAGTGCCGGTCCCTGCACTTACGTTCTTCGCACCGGCACTCGTAGTGGGGAGGTGTGTGGGCTCCCACACACCACGCAGCGCTGCTTCGGTCGCTTGACTGACGCTTGGCGTACCCA